CCACAACATTTAACTTTCTCAATCTCTAACTCAAATAGTCAACTTTCCAACTCGCTTTCCAGACAACATGAATCATTTATCTTCTCTACTTATGTCTTGTCTCTGATCCTAGACAGTGCTCAGTTTTACCACATTCACCCTAAAACTATTATCTTATTCTTTTTCATCATCAGAATCCTCGTTCATCATACCTCTTACAACTACCTTAAAGCTGACTGGGACTCTTTCCGTAATAATCTTCATGATGGCCCTTGGGTAGAAATATTTCATCTTCCTGCAGAAAAATGAGCTTCTTACATAACTTCTTGAATTTAGGCTGGCATAGAATCTTTTATTTCCTCTAAACAATTCCAAGCCAAGACTCATTATTCTCCTTGGTTTTCCCCACATTGTGTTGCTGCAGTTTCCAATCGAAACCATTACTTCTATATCTATCAGCAAAAGTCTAATGCCAAACTCGCTATTCTCAGATCATGAAATCTCATAATCATCTCAAAAAATAAGCTCTAGTGATTTTTTGGAGAATTTTTATCAATAATAAGGACAAATATGTTGTTCCACCTCTAGTATAATTTAGATTTTGTCACCTCACCTAAAGACAAAGCTGAATTGTTTGCTAAAAACTTTTCATCAATAATATCTCTTAATTCCACTAGTCGTGTTCTACCTGATATAGCTGACAAACAGGTTGATCCATGCTTGATGTTCATATCACTCCTTCTGTATCTAAAGTGATTTCTTCCTTAGATTCTTCTACAGCTTGCATTCTGGATAACATACCAGCTATAGTCTTGCAAAAGTGTTCTCTGGAGCTGTCGTCTATACTTTTTAACAAATGCTTATCAAAGTCTTGTTTTTCAGTATGCTGGAAAGCATGTTATTCCTATTTTAAAAAATTTTGGAGAGCGATCTGACTTGTCTTACTACCTTCCCATTAGTCTTCTACCTATCATAAGCAAGGTTTTTGAGTCTTTAATTAACAAAAACCTAATCTTTCATCTTGAATCTAATAACTTACTTTCATCAATACCCTCTTGTTCTACAGCTGATTTGCTAACACTACCAAACAATAGGTTTTATCATGCATTAGATAAAGGTGAAGAGGTTTAGGCTATGGCTCTTGACATTTCTAAAGCTTTTGATAAAGTTTGGCATGCTGGTCATCTCCATAAACTTTCTGTTTACGGTGTATCTGGAAACATCTTTAAGATTATTGAATCCTCCCTTTCCAATTGTAGTATAAAAGTTGTCCTTAGCGGATAGCACTCTTCTTATTATTCTGTAACCTCAGGGGTTCCTCAAGGTTCAATCCTTGGCCCTATACTTTTTTTAATTTACATTAACGATCTCCCACATATTCTCACATCTAAGGTGGCATTGTTCGCTGATGATACTACCATTTATTCTTGTCTTGATAAGAAACCAACACCCATTGACTGCTTGGAGGGGGCATTTGAGCTTGAAAAGCTCCAATACCCCTTCTTTTACAGCATCAGGCTCACAGTGGCTGGTAAACTTTTTTTAATTCAGATAAAACCTAATTTTTTTCAGCCAATTGTTATCACAATAATTTAGATCTTCCTATATTTATGAATGGTAATGTACTCAATGAGTTATCTACCCTTCATCTATAAATCTCAACTTCTTCCTTGCACAGTATAATGTTTTCATATCTGAGGCAGATCTTCCAATGATGCTATTCTCATTTAGATAAGGTGCTAAAACACATGGTAAGCATAGTTGGACCTGCTCTTGCAGCCAACCTCTAACCATTATCACATCATTGTAATGCTGCTTCTCTTTCTCTTTTCTACAAATACTTTAATGGACACTGCTCTAAAGAGCTAGTGTCTTTTATGCCATCTACTAAAACTCATTCTCATGTTACTCGCCATTTAATTAAGTCTCATCCTTTTTTTGTGAATATTTCTAAGTATTCCAAAAACTCTTATTCCACTAGTTTTTTTCCTCTAACATCACTTCTTTAAAATTTGTTTACTTCATCTTGCTTTCCTGATTCATATAATTTGCAATCTTATAAACTTGATATTTTCTTATCCAGTAACTTCGAAATCTAATAGTGGTTGCTTGCAGCCTTGTTGGAAGCGGAGATGTTAAAAATTTATATATATATATATATATATATATATATATATATATATATATATATATATATATATATATATATATATAATTTAAAATAAAAAAGATTTAAATCTTACATCGTTGAAAAAATAAAATACAGAAAAAACCATGAAATTGTAGAACGAAGCACTTATAGTGAAAGAGTAAAACTTGGATTAGAAGTTTAAGACATGTTTTTCACTTTGACACCAAGCTGGTCAAACAGTAAATGATGGAGTTAAAGATCTCTAAAACAAAAGAAAGGTTTGCAATTAGAGTATCCTTTCCTGATTACAATCCACTTCACTTTCTTTTAGAAGTGCAAAAAGTACCCTCTTCCAAAGGATATGATCAAGCACTGGTAACCAAAAGTCTAGAATATTATGATTTAACAGACCACATCTTAGCTGATTAGTTGTGCTGATACAACTGAATTAGAAATATAATTAGAAATATATTATTCTCTTTTTAGTCTGGTTCTTTGGCTAATGTGCAGGTATACTATACATATTGTACTCAGTGTGTTTTAATTTTAATGAGACCAATGACAGAAAATAAAAATGAGTTTGGTCCTGGAACTCTTCTTTACAATCTTACAACGAAAATAATGAAGTTCTGCAAAATATCTTTTAAAACAAATATGTTTGACAGAAGTAATTACAAGTATATTTGTCAACTGGTTGCTTTTTACCTTACAGCAGATTTGCCAAACTTCAAGTTTCTACAACTTGATGCACACCTTGAAGCAAAGATCATGGCTGACTTACTGTATCTGTTAGCAATGACTAGGAATAACAACAAGGACCTTAGTGTCTGATTATATAGCAATTTTTCACATCACCTCCATTTAATGCACAACAGAACCTTTCATTCAGAATAGTTAGCAAGTCAGCTTTAGAATGTGAAGATCAAAAACCATTTTGATCTTCAAATTCAATTTGGTTTTTTATCTTTACATTCTACTGTTCTGCAACTCAAACTCATTAGATCGGGATCTTAGAAACAGCAACTCAAACTCATTAGATCGGGATCTTAGAAATTTATTGATTAAAGACTCTAAAAACTCGCTAATAACAGAGAAAAGACTGGCAATAGTTGGAGGGGTCAATGAGTTTTCCAGAGCTTTTAAAAATTGGAACCACAAATGCAATTTTCCAGCAGGAAAGAAAATGAGACTCAGTTAAGCACTTATTAAATAATTTAGAGAAAATTGAAGAGAGTTTTGGATTACAAATTTGTAAGACAATGACAGAATGTTTTCTGGACCATAAACTGTAGAAGAGTTAGACTGAGAAATTACTGTTTGACACACCTGCTCAGAGTGCTGTTTTGTTATCATATAACCTACACACAACTAACACTAAGCATTAACACAAATTATGTAGTAAGAATTGTAAAGGCTTCTGTATTTTATTATACTTTAATATTGTAGGCCTATAAACTAAACATCCTTTACTTTAGTTTTACACTCCGCAATGCGATAGTAGGGTACTTAAAAGAACCTTTATTCACAAGTCATGAAGATGTGTTTGAATACTGGAGGAAATTCAAATTTATAAATATGAAAATACTAGCACAGAAATATTCAGGGATGCTTCTATCTACAGCGTGTTTGGAGGGGCTATTTAGTACTGCAGAGCTTATTTGCAATGAGAAAAGTTGTTTAATACCAGAGTGATGGCAAGCATTAGTGTCTGAACAAGCACTTGTTGTTTGCTTAACTCTCAGTACTAATGCTGGACACTATGCATTTGATCTCTTTTACTATTACCTATGACACTACTATATTATTTTATAAGTTATTAATTAATATAACTGATTCTGGTATTTCCGCAATCAATTTCTGCATAAGTATTAATTTACTAATGCATAAATATTAAATTATAACTTTAATTACATTAATATTATTAGTGCAATTAAAATAATTAAAAGATTCAGATTTTGGTAAAAAAATTGCAAGAAACCATTTGGGAATCAGAATTGGTACTGTTTAGAATCCATCACTACTTTATTTTGTAGATTAAACTTTTGCTTTGTTTTGTCTACTTTTTAATTTTCATGTTTGCATAAAACATTAAGTTACATTATATTATTATGTAATAATGTAAAAATATGCAAACATGAGTTATTAATACATATAATATTATGAAACATATATACATAGAATATATAACAAGATTGAACATATAACACCATAACAACACAGGGGTGTGGTGGCCCCAGAGGCAATGCGGGATTCCCGCATGGGCTTTTCACTTTTTTATATAAAAATTGGCTTTTTAGCAATTTTTACTTTTTTCTTCATTTTATAGAAAATCGACACATATATTTATATTTACAATGTTTATGTTTGCACAAATTAAATTTACTAATCGCTTGATTTAAAGTTGTTACCTCTCACCCTTCTCAAAGACTCTCACGAAGGCCTTCTGTTTTAGCTATGCAGTTGCGCTGGTCTAACCTTTAGCGCAATTAGTATATTAGTATTTTGCATAATAATAAGATTGGTCTGAAAACAAAGCAGATGTATGAAGACGTATTATGATATTTTTTTCATAAGAAACCATATGAACCCATAAACGGTTCTTAACAAACGTTATGTTTACAAAAGAAATGCAAGAATATATTGCGTTTTATTTTATTTAGTGGTGTTAAATTTAAAATTAAGTTTTTTATATGTAAGAATCGAGGTCATGTTTTGCAATTTTGTAATGATTCAAAATCGATATAAACCATATTTATAATAAAATAATTTTTGTGTTTTTATATAGTTTGTATTATTGTACGTAGTATTTCTATTATAAAAGTACTTAAACAGTTTAGTAACGGCGTATTTTTTTCTAAGTAAAGTATTCTACATTTAATTATTTATTTCAGGATAATCTTAACTCAAAGCAAGACAAATAAATAAACCACTCCGTAATATCCTGTCCTCAGACATGTTAAAAAAAGACGATGGCTGTGCAAAAAGTTCATTTAAAGAAAATATGTTTTATGAAAACTTTTTATTTTGAACTATATAAAACACCTTAATATACAAACATACATATATATTAAAAAAAACTATCCGAGTAGAAGGCGGCGTCGTTCATGGCTTCCTGCTGCAAATAAATTAACAATCTCATCTAAAGGGATTTCCTCTAAAATGTCCGCATTGCAGTAACATAGTAACGTGTCTCGCGTATGTTCCTGAGTTAATTTGTTTCTTAACTTGTTTTTCACATGTTTAAGAGCAGAAAATACTCTCTCACACTCGTCAATGTCAACACTAAGCGTCAAAATCTGGTGATATATATGAAACGTATTTTTCATTGCCAAAGATCCACCTAATGCTCTTCGCTGCAGAATATACCTAAAATATTGAAAAATAACCATCATTAATTTCAAAATTGATTTAATAACTGCACATAATAAAGTATAAAAATCATACTTGTACGTGCATACATGGCATCGGTGCATGAGATGATTCTTTTCTTTATGAGCTCCTGTTTTGCAGTTGTTTTCTAGCAATACGCATTCTTTGCTATCTGAAGTTTCCGTTTTGCTATCTTCCATTTCATTGTCATTCATTATACCGATTCGACATGTGCCAAGAGCTTTCAAATAGAGTCGAAGTATTTTGAGTTCTTGTCCAAGACTAACACAATCAATGTTGTTCAATGAGGGGAATTTTGCAATATATGTATTGAAATTGTACGCATCAATTTCTTGGTCAGTGTTAAAAATCAGCATATTTGGACATACAATTGAACACAAAGTATTTAAATCTTTGCAGCCTTTATCACTAAATCGGGCACGCATCTCTGTTAATATATTACCGAATATTAAAGAACGTATTTCTTCAAATGCCGATCTCGGAAACGCATATAGCTGTTTCATACGGACACTGCCACCACCATTTCCGTATGATACCACTAAACGTTCTAAATTATTTTTCATCTCTGAGTTTTCAAGATCTAATTTCATGATAACATATACATTTCTTTGAAGTAGCTATAAATATAATAGTTAACATGCAAATATTTTACCATTAGAATGTAAATCTACCAAATATCCTTTTAACAAGATTAAATAATTATGAATTAATCAAACAAGATAATTCAAAATAGTTTAATATTAGTATTTTTACCTTGCAATATGAATCAGCATATCTCCAGAAGTGGTCAAATTTTTTTCCAGTTTATTCCAATTTCAACAGGGTTGCAGAGATTAATTGATTTACGCTGGAATAATTGCTATCTCGAAACTGCATTATTGACATTAACTCATCCACATGAGACATCATCTGGGAATATAATATAGTTAAAATTATACTCTCCTTTCGTAGAACTTGTTGAAGAAGCGCAAAGGATGTTCCTCGCGTTTCTACATTGAAATCAGTGTCAGCAGCAATTAAGTCCAAAGTTAAGTGATTAATTGAACGATTAATCCATCATTAACTTGCTTCTCGGCATCCTCACTGTTAAATCTACCTATTAAACTAGTTACAGCTTTGCATCTTCCTTGCCACTTACGCGTAAGAAATTTAGCCAACTTTCTACTTTACCCTGATTATGCTTGCTTCCGTTGACTGTATTCACAAATACTGCACATCTCTTGTAACCTGTGTTTACAAAGTTAAATAGGTTTTGAAGCATAGAGAACAGCTGCTGAACGGAAGGATGATCAATAAGGCTACAATGGTCAACAACAGCAAGGCTAAGACGATGTGAATGACACCATATGTGTTGATTTACATTTTGAGTAGCTTCTCAAAAATGGTCCGCTAGCTTTGTCATCACTGATGCCCCATCGAAACAGTGCAAAATGCAATTTGCTTTCCAGTCAAGGTTTGTTTTGTCCAACATATCAGATATGTCTGTAAATAAATTTGTTGCTCTTCCACGAGTTATTTCACACACATCAATCAACCTCTCTTCAATGATATTGCATAATGGAACGTAAGAAACGTATTTATTGATTGCTTCTTGGTGTTGCTTTTGAATGGTACGAATTACAAAACACATCTGGTTGCATAGAGCTATATCTGTTGTTGAATCAGCTTGTATACTAAAAACTCAATTTTTATATATTATTATTATAATTCGCTTTTGTATTTCAGTAGTGAACACTTTCAGTAGTTCATTAAAAGTATAGATACTAAGCCATGTAATTTTTGATCCCCTGCTCCAGATTTTTCACCAAACTTAGGTTTTTGGTATGTTTTTTCAGTTGCTGACAGCTGCCTCAAGTGTTTATTTAGCATCGGATCCACTGCTATGAGAAGTTTTAACAAGGCTTGAAGGTTTCCATGCCGCAAATAAGGTTTTAAAATAGCGGTAGCATTTTCGTTTCGGTGCCCACGCCATGGTAGGTCTTGTATAACAAGAGTCCGAAAAGATTTTATTATGCTTTTAAGAACAAAACGGTTTGGGTCAACAGCTGTTTTAATGCTTTGGTCTAGAAGGCAACAAGTAGATTTTCCTGCTTTAGAGATAAAGAATGTGTCTAATGTTGCAGAGTGGGCGACTGATAGTTCATGTCTATTAATGTTGTGTAGATGGTGCGATCTTCCGGTTCGGTCTAATGGACATCAAGCCACAAAAAGGTTGCTAGCATCACCATTAAAACATATACATACACTGCAAAAATATTTCTCGCTTATCTTGTTTAAGCTGAGCCAAGAACGTACATTTTCATCTTGTTCCCTATCAATATTGCGTTTGTAACCTCTGAAAACTGTGTTCTTTACAGAGCTTGGTTGAATTGGATGGGTAAAAGTTATAAAACTTACCTCTTGTCCTGTTGCTGGCCTTTGCCAAAGTTTTAATGAATCATCTATGTTATCCAACCTTTCCGGAAACCCATCCGGATTTCTGTTTTTTCATATTCTTTTGAGAAAAAAATTTTGCAAAATGCTAAATCACACACTGATACACATGCAATTAAAATTACAAAATTAAAATTTTAATTGAATAAAATTTAGAATACATTTACAATTATAAATGAAAATAAAAAAACAAAAAAACAAACCTTTTAAGTGCTTTGTTTAATCTTTATTGAAATATTATAATTAAAAAGATCTCAATAGTGAATCACTAAATTTGATACACAGATCATTTTACTCACTCAGTCAATTTTCCCTAGTATTTATATATGTCAATAACAACTAAGGTAACCATAAAATTACTCCACGCTATCAATTAAAATAGCTTGCGCACATTTTTAATATATAACTCCTACGAGTTTAAAAATATATATAACATAAATATTCTTTAAACCATATTATTTCACAAACTTTTTAATAGTGTGTGGTTTATTATTATATAATGAAAAAACTTTAATTGAAGTGTGGGAGTACCGCAAATATTTTCAAATACAATTTGATATTAGACCTATACACTTTACTATATTTAAAATAAATTAGAGATTTCATTGCTTAAATTTTTTATGTTTTTATTATTTAAATTTTTGTTTTTTAAATGAAAAAACAATAAAATAGTATTTTTAGAAAAAATATGAAATATTTTTCAATTAAGAAACTGCTTAATGTAACTACGTTACAAAATCTTTTTTGTTTAAATTATGTCAATAACGGCACCATTTTTATAGAGGCATTTTTGCTGTTGTGAGTTTATGCTCTGCGAAAATGCAAGTTAAAATACCAAATCAAATAAAAGCATAAACTATCTAAAAAAATTATTTCTTATTTTTCAAGAAAAAATTATTTTAGAAAAAAAAAATATACAATTTAAAACAATTTATATTATAATAAAACATAATATATATCATTGTATAATAATAAAAAAATTAAAATCTTTTAATTTTTTGTTAGGCTATGCTCTTTAAATAATAAAATACTAATTGTATTTGCTTGCCATAAATTAGCGGTAAAGTTGTGTTTTAACGAAATCAAAACAAAAACGGTCCCTGCAGCGGGGTGTTACCATTTTTAATTTTGAAGTATTACAAACACCTTGTTGGTTTTGATGATTTATTCAAATAAGGTCAGTTTTATATATATGTATATATATATATATATATATATATATATATATATGTATATATATATATATATATATACATATATATGTATATATATATATATATATATTTCTTTATTTATGGGCTTTTACTTCCAGTATATATGGTAAAATCCCGCATATATAGGCCTTTTTATAAAAATCCCGCATGGGCTTTTTAGAGCCACCACGCCCCTGTAACAACATATAACACCATAACAACATATAACACCATAATAATAACATATGAAAACAAGATTGAAAATGTGTAGGATTTGAAAAAAAATATTTTAAAAGTACTTAAAATGGGTAAAAAAAAATAAATCAAAATTTAACAAAAGAACAAAAAAAAGCTCTAATGGAAATTAAGGTAAACAAACTTATCAATATATATATATTGGTTTGATAAAGGTAATGGTTTTGTAAGAACACAATAAAAATTTAGAAAAAATTTACAAACAAATTGGCCCAATGAGAGTTTTAAGTTAAGATTGTCATTGTAATTATGCTATTAAATTTAAAACCTACCTCTCAAAACTTAAATAAAAACTTTTTTAAAGATTTTTAAAAGCAGAGTATGAAAGTATTAAGTGATCCCGTCCTGCCTTATATGTATAATCTAATTAAAGCTCACAAACCTGAAAAATTCTAATTATGGAATACTGAACTACTTAGTAAAGAAAATACAACTTGTCTTAAACAAAAGTAAAAGATGTCAGAAAAATTGTTTTGATTTTATTAGTTAAGCAATTTCATAGGCAATTGACAAAAAATAATGGTTCAAGTTTCATTTTATGTAATAAACCTGTATCCATCAATTTGATTAAAGGAAGCCACTTTATTCTTATAGACCAATTAAATAAAGATGACTCCTACAAATATTTTACAATCAAGACAACTTATAGAGCTTTGTTTACACCACTTTTTTTTTGAAATCTTTTTTTTGGAATTTTTTGTGACATCCATGAGTTATGGAACTCTGGTCCTAGAGATCTTTCACTCATGGTTGTACAAGCAGAACCTTTTCTACAATACCATGAAAAAAATGCTTTCAAAATTGGAAATTCATTAAATCCTCCTCTAGTCTTAAAATCCTATCAAAGATGTGTTGACAATAGCCATGCTAGACTCAAAAAACAGAACAATTCCTAATTATCTTTAACAAACAACAGACTGCAGGCTTAGACAGAAATGGTATGCGATCGAGTGTTATTACTGACCATGCAAATAATTTTATTTTTTGACAACTTGACTATGAATGTTTAGATGTTTAGATGATTTTTAAACATTTTAGAAATGTGCTGAAAAAAGAAACGCTTGTTAAACTTAAACTAGGAAAAAAATAAAAATAAAAACAATTCCTTACGAAAAAGAAAATATAAAAGCACTAAAATGAAACTCAAAAAACTCAAACTAACAGCAAAAATTTACTTTTAGTTATGTTTTTAATTGCGCTTAAAGTAAATTAATTTAAAACTTATCCAAAGTTAAGCAAAACACTTTTACAAATTACTTCTAATGATTATTAACGAACAAACAAGTTTTACTTAAATCATTAAAAAGGGTTATATATAGTATTTTTAAATTGTATAAACATTTATTTTTTCTTATAAGTTGCAAAAATTAAAAAAAAAATTGTTTAAAAATACATTTGACTCTTTAAACAAGTAATTTTTAATCATTTCATGCTCTGATTAGTTAGTCAAGGTAAAAAAAAAAGTTTTAAACAATTCTTTGTAAAAATAGAAGCAAAAAAAATAAAGCAATTAAACCATTTAATTGCAATGGAAGATTCAGTTTAGCAAAAATAGTTTCAAATGTTTAAATTTATAATAAAAAATACATGCCTACATAAAAAAAAAAAACATAAATATAACATTGTTTGTTAATTTACACAAAATGCGTTTATTTTAAACATTCCCTATAAATAACTTTTTATTTTATTTCAAGCCTTCCCGTAAAATGAAAACTTTAGAAAAGATCAAAGATTAAAAAATTTACATAACGTAACAATTTTTTTTATAGCATTTAAATTGTTAAAACATCAAAACCGTCATGGTCAAGTTGTAAAGAAAAAAATATATAAGCGTTGTCAGTTTAAGCGTGTGACCACAACCATTCCTGACCAAACTATTCCTGTTCAAGCCTGATACTGTGATAAAATATACAATTGAAATTGAAAGTCAAAGTTAAATTGAACTTGGAACTTCTTTGTAACCATAATTAATAACATCAAAGGTAAGTAGGAGTTTAAAGTTTAAAGAAAAGTAGCCATTATAAGTATTCAAATTAAACCTCACTCAAATCATGACCCCAAGATTTTAAATGCAATATTTAAAGAGTATGTTCACAGGGCTTATCATAAATGCAATGATTTATATTTACAAGATGAGATAAATTTCTTAATCCAAATATTTAATGAAAATGAGTACAACATTTAGCAACTTAAAAATATTGTTAACCTAATCGAAAAAAAACAGTCAATAAAAAAAAAAAAAAATACGGTATTGCTACCATGGATACCATAACTAACCCCAAAATGAAGGAGAATATTTTGGAATGTAGGCTATAGAGTGGCCTTCAAATCAAATCCTAATTTAAGAACATTTCTAACATCAAAAAACAAAACTATTTGCCACATAATAGTCAACCCAAAACTTATTTAGTTGAATGCAAATTCTTAAAGAGATTGTATTCAAATCAAAACTTTAAATTAAGACTCAACAACATCTAAAAAAATTTAAATGAGTGGAAACAGCAACTCATAGTAAGTTTTGTTTAGAAGAAAAAAAGTGGGAGAGTGTTAAAACAATAAAAGTGGAAACAAAATAATTAACCCAAAAATTACATGAAGGTCTTGAAATACAGAGATAACAATGTTTCCCTGGCAGAGGATTAAATGGCAGAATTATTCTAGATAATAGGCAATTAGTTAAAATATTTTTTTACTTTTTTTTACATTTTTATGCAAAAAAAGAAAAAAGCCATTCAAATGCTGATGTCAGTTAATTTTAAACTGTTTTTAACATAAAAACAGTTTTTGTATAATTTTAATAATTGATGATGCTGGTAACCGCTAGTTAAAACTAGTAATAATAAAATATTATCTATATTAAGAGAACTTGTATTGCTTTATGTTTTCTTTTTAATTTATACATTTATAAAACATGTACTAATACAATAAAGTATATAAAACATTTTATTAAATACCTTCATTTGAAACCAATGAAATATAAAACTTTAAGTCTTAAAACCAAACACTGAATCTTTCACTGTACCTCGTTTTTATAATTAAATTATAATATAACAACTTAATAACAAGCTGCATAAAAATAAATTGAAAGGAGAAACAAAAGATCATATCATGTTTAAATGAAAAGATAGATGTTGTTCAAATGAAAAGATCATATGTTGTTCAAATGAAAAGATAGATGTTGTTCAAATAAAAAGATCATATGTTGTTCAAATGAAAAGATAGATGTTGTTCAAATGAAAAGATCATATGTTGTTCAAATGAAAAGATAGATGTTGTTCAAATAAAAAGATCATATGTTGTTCAAATGAAAAGATAGATGTTGTTTAAATGAAAAGATCATATGTTGTTTAAATGAAAAGATAGATGTTGTTCAAATGAAAAGATCATATGTTGTTCAAATAAAAAGAGGGATGCTGTTTAAATGAATAATGTTGCTCAAATGAGCTATTTGAGTAGCAAACATAGTAACGTATTTTTAACGTATTTTAAACGTATTAAAGTATTTTCTTTGAGTTAATTTCCACATTTTATATACTGAAATTTACTATTTAAATATTAGTTTTATTAAAATGCTCTTAGTACTAAAAACAGGTAAGGGAAATATTGAAAGATTTTCAAAACACATCAAGGGAAACTGGGAAAAAGCTTCAAAAGATACACCAAGAATTCAGAATCTGATCAGTGATAAATGACATTACGTTTTTTTAACAACCTATAAAAGGTCTCTTTACACGTATTATTAGTGCACTTATTCTTTGCGTATGAAAATAATATGTATCAAATATAACCAAATGAATGAAATTACACAAGATTTAATAGCTGTAGGAGTAAAACTAAATAACCATCTTACTAAGAGTAATGCAAGAAAAAGAAAACAAAAAGAAAGGTAATTTTATTATTTATTTCTAAATTATAAATATTAAATCTTTTAATTGAAGCAAGCCATATAGTTTGCTTTGTTTATATTTACTTAAAATATCACTAGCATTATTTATATTTGTATATTTATATTTGTATTGTATATTTATATTTGTATATTTATATTTGTATATTTGTATTTGTATATTTGTATTTGTATTGTATATGTATATTTGTATATTTGTACATATTGTGTGTAAAAAATTTAAATAATATTTTACATTAAGCTGAAAAAATTTTTATTTGGAACATTATTGTTATTATAACCTACAGTTAAATAAATTCTTTTCATGAACATTTCATATAAATTCTCTATATATAAATAATTTATTTTAAAACCTGTTTATCCAATCTAACTTTTTATTTTTAGGTACTGACCTAAACCACCTTGAAAATATTATTGCCAAAATAAACACAAAACAGTGTTTAAATGTTCTGAAATAACAAAGACCTCTATCTTTTCAATGCTCATTTTTATGACAAAGTATTTTCTGAACTGACATCAGTTAGAAAAAATAACGTTCTAGAAAAAAAAAGCATTTTGAAAGAGGAATAGGTCTAATTGAGAAATTAGTTATTTATGGAAAAAGAAAATAGACATATAGTTCATGTTATATCAAGACATATAGTTCATGTTATGTACCAAGGAACTTTACTAAAATGCTTACATGTTGGTAAAACTTGTGTTCAAAATATTGCAAAACATTTCTTTAAAACTGGAAATCCAAGAAAAGTAAAAAGTTGGTGATAAAAAAAGCCACAAATCCAGAAATAAGCCTAATGCTTTTCTCTGAATATCTATATCTATATATATATATATATATATATATATATATATATATATATATATATATATATATATATATATATATATATATATATATATATATATATATATATATATATATATATATATATATATATATATATATATATATATATATATATATATATATATATATATATATATAGTCCATCTCACATTATTAAAATAAAGCCAATAATTTAATCAGATTTATTTCAAGATCCTAAATAATTTTATTTTTTTCTATGTGCATGATAATCATTTCACTGAAGTAGATTTTACAAATTATGGGTCAGTAAAATGGAAATTCTGTGGTAGTTTTCCTCCAATATCTCAAAATTAATTTACTCAGACTTAATGCATTTTGCAAATCAGCTCTTCATATATTTTTTTTATTAGACATTAAAATAAGCTTGAAACATAAATTTGACCTTGCACCTCAAATGGGTCAGGGTAACAACATCAGTTTTTGCTATGTCTAATAATATCTGTCCAGCAACATCTGTAAATATAATGAGATTTATAACACCTGTCCAAATCTGAAACATCTGAAATTTCAATGATGTCTAATAACATCTGTCCAACAACATCTGAAATTTCATTGGTGTCTAATAATATCTGAGCAAAAGTTAAATAAATATTACAGATGTAGTTACATCTTTTAAATTATCAAAGTGTAATAACATCTGTGCAACTATATCTGTAAATTGTAAGATGAAGTTATTTTTAAGATGAATTAACTAATAATGCATTATTTTAACCAGATGTAGTCACATAGGATTTTTTTCAGGTGTAAATACATCTGGAAAAAAATATTAACAATGTATTATTTAAACCAGATGTAGTTATGTATAGAATTTATGTCAGATGTAATTAAATCTGGAAAAAAAATATTAACTAATAATGCATTATTTTAACCAGATGTAGTTACACATAGGAATATTTTCAGATGTAACTACTTCTGGAGAAAATTCTTCCAGATGTTATTGGACTATTATTACTATATTGGACTTGGAGAAAAATTACCAGATGTAGTTACATCTTTTAAAGATGTTGTAAGGTATCGTTGAATTTTCAGATGATATTGGACAGATGTTATTAGAGTTAAAGAAAAATACAGATGATCTTGGACAAAAGTGTACAAATGATTTTGAACTACTCCACAGATGTTGTTGGACAGATATAGTAATCTTTTACCTCCTAAATGATTAATTAAGCAATTAATTCATCTCTGTTGTCACCAAATAATGTAACCAAGTATTTAACAACAAAATAAAAAATTTAAACTTTTACCTTCAGGTACTTTGCAAGCAAGCTTTCTACATCGCACTTTTGTTTTTGATTACTAAAGTAGGACTTGGCATTAATTGTATGCTCTAAAAGTTCAATGAGTATACTAACACCTTTTTTTGATAAATTTTGTTGATTATAGAGATCAAAAAGTTTTTCAAAACAATATTCCAATTTTTGATGCAAAGTTTCCAACGTATGCTCCATCATTTTATTCTATAATTCATAATAAAATCATTATGTTCAATAATTATGTTCATAATAAAATCATTTAAGTTCAATATATAGTCTACAATTAAATACACAATATAAAAGAAATAGTGGTGTATTGGTAGAGTTCTAGCTTCATAAACCAGAAGTTTTAAGTTTGATCCCCGTTACATGTCTGGTAGTACTGCGCTCAGGTTTTGTGCAGTAACCTTGTTTGTCAAGGTTTGTGTTTTAGAGTTAAAGAGTTGGGAGAGCCTTATAACCACAAAAAAAAGTAGCTTCCTAGACTGTAGAGGCTCTCTCGAACTTGGGGAGGTAAATAACATTTGAAAAAAAAAAAAAAAAAACATAGTCTTTTTTTAACTGTCAACTGTCTTTTTCCTCTAGATGTATTCTTTACAAATCTAGAACTACCTTTTGTTTTGCTAAGAAAGTTTTAGAAACAATACAGTGTTTCTGTATTGAAACTTTTGTGAAACAGTGTTTCTGTATTGAAACAATTGAAACTTAAAGGCATTGTAAACCAGAAAAAACATGCCCAGCAAACATTCTATTTTCAATTGATCTCAATGAAATTTTAGTGAGTCTATATAGGTATTTTGTGCAGTCCGCTATAGTTTTGTCCATTGGTTACTTGGTGGACCATTAGCGGCAGCCACCAAAACAATGTTTGCTGGGATTAGTTAAAACAAACATAATTAAAAAAGACAACAAAGAGCTAGGGATCACCAATAAGAAACTATTAAACTATTACACTAATCTATAAAATAGAAAACTCATAAAAAAAACTGCAATGACTTCACAAATGACTTTTCAAACATTTTTACACTGAAACAAAAAACAAAAAGTAAAATTAATAAATAAAGAAGAACAAAAATAGTAAAAAGTAATGGAAAAAGGAGAAAAGATTTTAAAAGCAGAAAGAAAAAAAAAAAGTCTTAGTTAAATTAAACTTAGTTAAGTTAAAGGAAACTATAATTAATTATTATAAAAATTTTAATTAATTTAGTTCAAATAAAAATAAACTTTGAGCAGTTATCTTTAAAATAAGACTGTTAAAATATTTCCTAAATTATCAGCAAAAAAAAAAAGATAAAATACTCCAGAACATATAGAACAGAAATTATGTAAAGAGCTTTCATTAACTTTGGACACACCTTGGACTAGTCCACTAGCAATAGTAGAGCATTTTTATGAAGTTAAAAATATGAAAAAGCATAATAGATACAGAATCTCCTACCATATTCAATGAAAACAAAGTTCAAAAGGCTTTAAAAGTTCTCTTTAAATCTTTTCTTTGTTTTCTAGTAACTCCCAACTAAATAATGGTTGCTTACAGTCTTGTTGGAAATGAATTAGATTAAAAAAAAAAAAAGTTGCAAACACACTAGCACAGCAACACATCTTATTAACAAATAAATTTTAAGGGTGAGTTAATATTAAAAATAAAGGATGGACACAATGTTGAATGCACTACATTTTCTTTATTACAAATAAAGGAAGGACACAATGTCAAATGTACTACATCTTCTTTATTACAAATAAAGAAAGGATACAGTGTCGAATGCACTACATTATCATTATGATCCAAACAATTTAAATAGAAATAACAATAAAACTTATAATTATGGAATATTTAATAAAACCAGTAAAACTTCCATATTAAAAACAATTATTGAGTTAATTAAAAGTGTTTCTAAGAACCAAAATAAAAATGCTGCTAAAGATGATCATGCTAACAATGTAAATGTAGAAGAAGTTATTAAAGCCTACCTTCAGTTCCATCATCACTTCTAAAACTAAATGCTGGGTTTAATATGTCCAGAAAAAAAAGCTTCAGTTTGAAATTTAAAAAACAACCAATATATCAGAAAAATATAATAAGAAGAAATATTGTATGGAAGGAATTATTATAAGTAAAAAATATTTGTATCTAATATTTAAATTTCAACTGACCATCTCATGACAGTAGGGTCAATAAGTGGCCCAAATCAGAATGTACCTTCTATAATATTAGGTATATCATCAAAGCATATCATCACAAAAATTGTGGCAGAAGCATAGATGATGCATGCTACTTGAATATTTTTAAAAAGATGATACATTAAAAAGAATATTTTTAAAAAGATGATACATTAAAAAGAAATTTTTTGATTCAAGTTCTAAAAAAGTTTTAAAAATTTGATTTAAGTTCTTTATATCGATTTTTTATAAAAATGAGTATATGTCATTTTTATGTGACATCTTTTTAAGTAGTAGTGTAAACTACTAGAAATTACTAGAAATAATAAAATTTATTTTAAGTTTTACAGTTTCTGGACTTTTTATTAACAATATTTTGCATTTTCAGAATAGTAACAAAAATATAATTTATATTTTGCTGTTTATTGTAGTGATTACAAAAGTAATTTTAAAATCGCAAATTACAGCAAAGAAATGCAGTATGAAACTTGATTCAAAAAAAAAAGTTTGTTAACAAGTTTTTATTTCAGAATTACTTACTAAAAACTTTTTGAAGACCTTAAAAAATCTCTTAATTATTAAAAGATTTCCTAATATTATCTATAAACAAAAAAAAAATTAAAAAAAAAATAAACAAGCTTTAACTAAATTTAAACTTTACCAAAGTATAAAAAAAATGTTGCAATATTTTAAAAAAATAGCTGAAAAATACCTCTTTTAAAAACCAACATTTATCTCTGTTTTCCAGGAATTTTATTGTATCTATTAGACAATATTTCAAGCAATTCAAATAGTAATCAGTGTATTCAAAACAACTAAAAAGTTAAAAGAATAAGAAAAGTATTATTATTGAGTAATAGTAAAATTAATAGTTTTTTAAGTAATACAGATTATGGATTTTAAATACTTAATACACTTTGTTGTAAGTTTGATACATTTAAATATCATACTTACAAATATATAACTACAACAAACTAGCAATATATACTCACAACAAAAAAATATATCTTACATCGTACTAAACCAATATACAATGAATATTATAGACTGATATTAAATCTCAATATATGCCAATTACATATGTAAGAGAATGAATAAAATTTTTTTATATATTTAGCAGAAGTTGATACAGTATTATAACTCTCTCATGCTCATGCATATTGACTCATGCAAATCTTTCCTCTAATCTGTTAAATCAATAGACCAAATCTAATTTAGAGTCAACTCATATTAACTATATTAGGATATATCAAGACTTAAAATCATGTTAACAACTTTTAAATGGATTTCCATAAAACAAAGAAGTTTGTACAACTCACAAAAAACATATTCACAAAATACATATTTACAAAATTTTGACTAAGGCTTTGACATGCGGCAGCAATCTTTTCTTTCATTATTCTTAGTTTTTTTCTTTATTTTTTAGAAATAAAAAGTATTCTATAAATATATATATAAAGATTGAATCCCCCTCAACTTAAGGTGGTTACAAATTTTGTATGGTCATAACTTTTGAATGTTAAAAGGTTATTGTATGAATTTTAAAATTTATGGATGAATATAACTTTAGTTGAGAATAGTAAAATAAATGTATTATCAACTTGTTGGTCTCATATTTGGGGCAGTTGTGGCCAAAACTTTAGGGCTGCTTTGTTCCTAGACTTCAATTATCACAATTTTTTGCAAAGCATCTTTATTTTATATAAGCATCAACATATAAATGCTTGGTGTTTGCTCCATGTCAGGAAGTTAATTACCTCAAACACCAAAAAATGCTGAATCTGCCCCTGTTATGTATATATGTACACATCAGGGTGGCCCTTAAAAATAAAAATTTTGAAATCATCTCCTGGTACCTTTCCAGTTTGTGCCAATTATGAAAAGAATAACTTATGCAAAAAATCATTCCAATTGAATGATATTTAGGGGTGGCCCTTGGAGCTTGAAATTTCAGTGATATTGTCCAATTTATTAAATCGCGACATTCAGTCTGTTTAAGATTTATTATATCAGTTAACTTCAACTTTTTAAAATTTTCTCTAAAGCTATTATTATTATAAAAGAATCTTATTCCAGTTCTTTGGACAGGCAGCCATTTTAATTGTTAATACCTTCTGCTAAAAAAAATAATTTACAAAGTATTTTTATTTTAGTAATTTGAATTCAAAAAAAATAATTTTGTAAAGAATTTCTGAAAATTTATTATACATTAAGTAATTATAAAATTTCTTTATTCAATGAATTTAATAGCTCTGTAGTATGAAATATGTACTTATACTTTGAACTCTGTAACTGTAAGCACTAAGTAAACAGTAAGCACAATTTTTTTTTTCAGGATATATAATGGAAACTAGAAGTAAACCAAATGTGTACCTGATTGGTTCTTACGAACCTGAAATTCTTGGAGCAAAGTTGCCATTAAATCGCCAAGCCTTTCGCTACTTTATGCATCTCCACAAAATGAGAAAACTAACTATTTGCGACTCTAGTCAAAAGGTATCAAAGTTGTGTCAGCATTTTGGAGCAAGGCTGGAATATCTGTTTGAGCAGCCAAACATTGTATAGATAAATTAGGGGCAATTTTTGTTCAATGGAAAGGTCTTCTGAAACAGAAGACCTTTCCATTGAACTTGTAAAAAGAAATTATAATTAATTATTATAAAAATTTTAATTTATTTAGTTCAAATAAAAATAAACTTTGAGCAGTTATCTTTAAAATAAGACTGTTAAAAGATTTCCTAAATTATCAGCAAAAAAAAAAAGATAAAATCTTGTGCCCAAGACTTGATGTCACTTAACAAGTGACTTGATGTCATTTTATTAAGTGATATCAAGTCTTGGGCACAATGTGAACACGTTAAACATTAATCAGTTCTTAAAAAAAAAAGGTCTAGAGCAAGTCATCTAACAACAAAATCTAAAAATCTCAGACCAGAATTTTCAACAAGAGTACATTTATTGGTTCACTGGAACGGTAAACTCATGAAGATTTGACATCTCATGAACACATAGATTATCTTCCAGTCTTGATTTTGAGTGTTTGTGTTGAGCTATTATTGGGCATTCCAATTCATCCGAAACAGGTGAAGCTCAAGCATCTGCAGTTATTGAATGTTTGGAAGATTAGGGTATTGGAGATCAGGTTGCAGCATTGTGTTTTGACACAACAGTATCAAATAATGGTCATCATCCCCGTGCATGCTCATTATTTGAGCAGAGACTCAATAAAGATTTTATGTATCTAGCCTGTCGCCATCACCTGATGAAATTAAAAGTTAAAGCTGTGTTTGAAAACAAAATTGGCACTTCTACTAGACCAGAAATACTTATATTTAAGAGCTTCAAAGACAAATAGGAATGTATGGATCATGAAAATTTCCAGAACGCCTCAGATCCAAGACTGGAATCTGTGGTCACATCATTTTGTTCTGACATTCCGGAAATTGCACAAAAACATTTGGAATGTCAACAGCCATGAGATGACTATAAGGAGTTCCTTGAGCTTTACATTATATTTCTTAGTGATGTTCCTTTTTCGAGGAGTGCAGTTTCTAATGCATGGGGCCATGCACCGGGTGCAATGGATATCAAAAGTTATTTATGCTATCAAAATGTGGCTGTCTCGCCGCCAGTTTAACATATTAGCATCAGAAAAATGCGGTATCTGAGATCTGGCTACATTTTCTGTAATTATTTACATATATTTATTTAGTTTAATGCAGTTCTACAATAAAAGTTTAAAACTTCTATGAGTTGAGAATCTATTGAGACCCTGCTTAAATAGACTGACGAATAATTGAATTAATCCATTTGTCATAGTTATTTTTGAATAAGTCAACTGACTCTGAAGCAACAACGAAATCTGGTAGGCTATTCCAATAAGGCACTACACGTTGCTTAAAAAGTTATGCCTGGTTGAACTTTTAGTAATCTCTCTATGGACTCTCAATGTATTCCGCATCACATAGAGTAGGATTTTGCCACTTCACTATATTTAAAGTTCTTGGAAATTTTAAAATATTGGATCAAGTCAACTTCTGCGTTCATATAAAGTTGTTATAACCAACTAAGCTAGATGTGATTTTTAATTCAGGTGCATACAGAGACATGCTACTAAATTAATCCCGCAACTGCAGGAGTAATCTAGTAGCATACATGTGTGCATGTGTGTGTGTGTATATGAGTGCATATATATATATATATATATGTATATATATATATATATATATATATATATATATATATATATATATATATATATATATATTTATATATATATATATATATATATATATATGTATATGTATATATATATATATATGTATATGTATATGTATATGTATATATATATATATATATATATATGTATATATATATATATATATATATATATATATATATATATATATATATATATATATATATATATATATATATATATATATATATCAGTGGTGTACACTTGGATTTTGGTCAGTCATCCAACAAGCGATTGAGAGTAACAATTTGGATAGTCTTGGTTGCCTGCGATTATTTTAAGTTGTCCGTTTTCATTAAAAAAAAAGTTTTAAGTTCTAAATACGTCTTAAATGAGTTTTTAAAGTGTGTGTTTTCACTAGGAATAAAATTATATTTTCATTTTTGATGAATACAAAATTATAAAAAAGATTATTTATATTTTTTCAACTTCAGCGGTTATGATACGTTAATTTATTGTAAGAAACTATTGATGCATTTATAAAGTAGCGTTTAAAATGTCTTGGTATTTTTATTTGCGCCACTTTTTATGTAATTAAACATAAAATGAATGAAAATTATGAAAAAACTATTGATGCATTTATTTAGTGTTTAAAACGTCTTGGTATTTTTATTTGCATCAGAAGGAAAATAAACTTCAACAACTAGACTTTAAAAATGTTGCTTTATTGTTATGCTAGATAAAAAAATAATTATCAAATTTTGTTGATAGAAAGTAATAGTCTTTTGAAAACAAAAGAACAAATTTACCTTTAGCATCAAAAATGTTGCTAAATGTAGAAATGCAAACTGTGGCAAAAAATCAATTTAAACAATAACTATAATTTAAGTAATAAGTTAAAAAATGAACCAATTTAAATAATTGCCCAGTTGGATGACATCAAAACATTATTTCCAATAGAACTTCGAAAGATTTGGGTGGCGTGTGTGTGTGTGTGTGTGTGTGTGTACATGAGTATATATATATATATAATATATATATATATATATATATATATATATATATATATATATATATATATATATATATATATATATACATATATATATATATATATATATATATATATATATATATATATATATATATATATATATATATATATATATATATATATATATATTAATATTGCTTTCTTAGCTAATCAGAATTATGTCATGCTGTGTGTGTGTGCATGAGTGTGTGTATATATATATATATATATATATATATATATATATATATATATATATATATATATATATATATATATATATATATATATATATATATATATATATGTATATATATATATATATATATATATATATATATATATATATATATATATATATATATATATATATGTATATATATATATATATATATATATATATATATATATATATATATATATATATATATATATATATATATATGTTAATATTGCTTTCTCAGCTAATCAGAATTATGTCATACTGAAATAGATAGCTAAGAAGGCTTCAGAGCATACATCAACTGACTATCTAGGTAGAACATGCAAGGCAGTGCTACTACAGACTAAGAGTTTAGGTTAAAATTTAATAATAATAAACACAAATCCTATTTTAAAAACTAAAAAATAAGAAATCATACTGCATAACCATAGTAGATAAAGTTGATATTTTCCTAAAAACTTGTCCAACCCCAAATCTTACACCAAACTCTTTTAAAACTTTCAGAGATTTACTAGTTGGAACAATAGGTATACTTTCACCTTTTTTACTATTTCTTTCTATTGAATACAAATCGTACCTAAATAAAAGTTCAGATTTTAAAATTGTTTCAAGTTGCACTCAAATTTTATACAAATTGTTATATTATACAGTGATTACTACTTGTTATTGATCTTGTTTTAGGAATAAACCTCTCATTTAACTTTTTTCTTTTATTATTTTTCTGATTTAATAACACTACACTGTTAACTAAATCAAATAATAGTAAACGATTTTAGTATTTCTTGATTTAATTTTTGTGTTGTCGTTGTTATTAGGAAGAATTTAAATATAAAATAAAATCATATTTAATGTTGTTTTTTGTTTTGTTTAAAAGAACAAACCTTTCATTTATTGTTTGTAAAAAATAGAAAACATAAGTTAATATTTAAAATATTAAAAAAGGATCCATAAATAAAAGAAACAAGTGCAACTGCTCCTTCAGAATTTGTTTTTCTTGAGCAGTCAATTCTAAAGGGGCTTCAAATAGCACTTTTTTACAAGAATAGAGAGCCTTCAATATCCATCAAGCATAAGCATTGCTCATGGAGCTCAGAACTAGAAATTTATCTTAAGACTACTTCCACTAAGGAAGAAAAGGCATAGTCAAGATAAAGAGCTCAAGATAATCCTTCTGAGGCTGCAGATATCTGATGGGTCTAAATCTAGAAGATAACCATCTTCTAATGAGTTTTTGTAACCTAATTGAAGATTCTGTATTTGTGCTTAGGCTTGTGAGTTATGTTAGGTTTATAAATGGTCATTTCTACGAGAACCTCCTTAAAGAACACATATTGGGATCCACCTGTCCCACAAAAATTGAAGTGAAGATGTTGCTGATAATAAATCCATAAAATAATAATAGCATCCGATGTTTACAAATTCATGGCTCTTAGTTTTCTCAATAAAAATGCATGCACATCGATGGATGCTTGTGTTGGAAGAAGTTGTATCAAATACCAGACTTTGAACCTTTTCTCATACATTCTAGTCATCTAGTACTTTTAGATATGCAGCGACTTATTCTTTCAAATTCCTTTTTTTAATTTTTAGGACTGCCAACATCTTCTTGATTTCATTTTCTGTGATGATTCCATAATTTTTGTTCGATGCAACAATCAACAGATTCACTTAATCTGCAACCCCTAAAACTTCTGATATTGCTATCATAGTTTATATATATATATATATAAACTATGATATTGCTATCATAGTATATATATTGTTATTATTATATATATATATATATATATAATATATATATATATATATATATATATATATATATATATATATATATATATATATATATATATATATATATATATATATATATATATATATATATATATATATATATATATATATATATATATATATATATATATATATTAATAATAATAATAATAATAATAATTAATATTATATATATATATATATATAATAATATTATTATATATATATATATATTATATATATATACTATAATATAATTTATATATATATATATATATTTATACACTATATATACACACACATATATATAGTATACATATATACATTTATATACACACATATATATACACATATATACATATACACACACACACACACACATATATATATATATATATATACATATATATATATATATATATATATATATATATATATATATAATATATATATATATATTATATATATATATATATACATATATATATATATATATACATATATATATATATATATATATATATATATATATATTATATATATAATATATATATATATATATATATATTATATATATATATATATATATATATATTGCAGCACTAAAAAAAACACAACTATCTCTTTAATGAACTTTTTAAAGAAGTTCAAAGTTTATTATTCCAAACAATAATTATTATTCCAAACAAAAATTGGAATGATAAACTAAAACTTTAAGGTTATGTTAAAACATATATATATATATATATATATATATATATATATATATATATATATATATATATATATATATACTATATATATAATATATATATTATATATGTTTTAACATATATATTATATATATATGTTATAACAAAAAACATTATATATAACTTATAATATAACTTAATTTTTTTATATTGAATAATAACTTCAATATTTCGAAATAACTTTTAATTATTACATAATATGCAAAATGCTTTTAAATAATAACATATTACCTCTGATGATTGTAATTTATTTACTTTTTAACACAATTAACACAATTTATTTAAATTATTAAAGAGTATCTAAAATAATTTTTTTACTTAATAACATGTATTTTTTACAGATGTAGAAAGTAACAAACTTACTTACACATTTACTTGCGTTAGAAAGTAACAAATTTACTTACTTACACATTTACTTGCGTTACTGTAATTAAGTAGATTTTTTTGTGAATTTTTTACTATTAATAAAAATACCAAGTATATTTTTAATAGTAAAAAATGTATCAATAGTTTTTTAAAGTATTGTACTTTGCTACATTTTAAATTATATATGCTACAGATTAAAAAAATTTATTGCATACTAGTATTTATTTCAACAAAAAATATGATTTAATATTTTAGCTAATATAAACAAGAACTATCTTTATTTTTTACTAAAATTATTACTGCATTATAATTAATATAATTGTTTCCTCATAATTTTCATTAATGTTTTAAGCAAAGTTATGTAGACATTAAAACCTGCCTCATTTACATTTGCCTCGTTTACATTTAGAATTTCAATTTTTCTTTGAAAATTTAAAAAGAAAATTTAAAACTAAGATTTACTGTTTACATTTGATACAAAGTATCTTGCAATAGCTCACAAGATATATTGCAATAGCTTGCAACATATCTTTTAATCTTAGTACATTTTTAATGACCTACTTTTTTATTTACTTGAGTAAATTTTTTGACCGTTAAATGACCTACTTTTTAATTTACTTGTACTTGAGTAAAATTTCACTTAAGTAACAGTAATTTTACTTGATTACAAAATATTTTTATTTTTTCCACCACCTTGTTTTTCCAACAAAATAACGACAGTTAAATATTAAAACATTTATTAATAATTTATTTATTACCAAATAACATTGTATTGTTGAATAAAACTTATCCATAAAATTTCCTACTTTTCACTTATCCATAATGTACAAAATTTTGTAGTATGGTTATAAGAATTGTATTGTTTAATTATTTTCCATTTGACAACTGGGTTTAAACTTACATCTTTTAGTTTCTAAATATACTTATTAAAGCAATTGCAGTTGGTTTTAGGCGAAATTTTGTTGCTGTTTTTAATGTGACAACTGTGTGCATTTAAAATAGATTTCATATTTGGCATTAAAATTTTAACTTATTTTCATTGTGTTTCTATTAAAAATATTACGGAGTTTATTATTCATTGGAAAGTGTTTATCAATTAAGATTAAAAAATATGTATATGTATATATATATATATATATATATATATAATATATATATATATATATATATATATATATATATATATATATAGTATATATATATATATATATATATATATATATATATATGATATATATCAGCCTCTAACAGAGTAAGGTCAGCAAAATATTGCTGACCTCATTTTTCCTAATTCTGAAGGCTGATATATATATATGTATATATATATATATATATATATATATATATATATATATATATATATATATATATATATATATACATATATATATATATATATATATATATATATATATATATATATATATATATATATATATATATATATATATATATGTATATATATATATATATATGTATATATATATATATATATATATTTATTTAAGTTTAACACAAACAAATGAATAAAATGATAAATACATATGTGTATTTTATGAATAGCACACATGCCATTTTAGCAGGTTTTAGATATTACTAAAACATAGAAACGTATCTAATAGTCAATCTTTTTACCTTTATCTATATTAAACTGAATGCAATGCTTAGGCATTGAGGAAATGAGCGTCTCAAGCAAAGATTGGGGGATTTTGTTTCATTCCACCTGGATGGCTATTTTCAGTTCTGTGACGCTACTGTATTGTTTTGCATACAGGTGACAAGACAAGTAACCCCAAATGTTTTTAATTAGATTCAAGTTGGGGTAGATAGTTAGATGATCAAACAATTGGATGTCATGTTCGGTTACAAATTCAATCACAGTCTTTGCCGTATGTATCGATGTGTTATCTTGCATAAAGACAAACGTATGTCCGTAGTTGGCATGCCCATATGGCATTAAGTAATCAGAGAGTGTAATAATATAGTCTTCAGCTGTTTGTTTCCCTTCTAAGAACTTTAATTCAGATGATCTAGTCTTGGAAAATGCACCATAAATCACGACACCACCACCATTTTGTCTGGACAAGAAAGTCTCTAGCTCTTTTCATAAGTCATCCCAATAATATTAATATCCATCTGGGACATAAAGATTAAATTTCTTCTTATCAGAACAAATAATTTGTTCACATACACCATACGTTTTTCCATGTGATGTTTCTGCAATGCCGGCATTAACATACGCTTTGCATACCTCAGATGTTTGGCTTCATGTAACATTCTTTATATTGTATGCAACAACACATCAATATCCAGCTGGGCATGTACCAATCAGGCACTGCAGCCGGTGTTTAAAACCACTTGTAGTATGCAATGTTTGTCAGGCCTGGTTAATTTCCAAGCATTTTGGTTGGATTTTGTTGTCAAATATGTAACAGGATTCTTCAAAATCTTCTTGATTACCTTCCAACTTCGCTGTGTCTCAATATCTCAGAATTTAATACACTGGCAGCCTTGAATGCCTTGATCATAGTAACTTCTTCAGCATTTAACTTAGTTATACATCCCATAATAGTCCTCTGTAACACATATGATTAGTATACATATGATGGCCCTTTGTCTACCTTAATATATGCATCACTTACTTAATTGCATTAGCAATTTGTCTGTTGCAGTCAAATATCAAATGACTAATGTGTGCTGTTCGTTTGTCACCAGAAAATATCATATGGTCTACCATATTTTGACGCGGAAAACATTTGGCGCCAAAAATTATATGTTTTTTATTACTTCTCTGACTATTTTTTAGATATTTTAGTTATGACAACAGTATAAAATGAATAAAATATATTATATTTATTGTGAGTGCTATTTGTTTGGCGCAGACTGTATATATATATATATATATATATATATATATATATATATATATATATATATATATATATATATATATATATATATATATATATATATATATATTATATATATATATATATATATATATATATATATATATATATATATATATATATATATATATATATATATATATATATATATATATATATATATATATATATATATATATATATATATATATATATATATATATATATATATATATATATATGTATATATATATATACAATATATATATATATATATATATATATATATATATATATATATATATATATATATATACATATATATATATATATATATATATTTACATATATATATATACTCACAATACACACAACAATATTATAATATATTCATATAATAATATTTATTATAAGGTGTTATGTAAGTATACAGGGTGCCCAAGATAATTTGGCAATAGTCTCATTATCTTATGTGCTTGTTATTAATTTCCAACAACCATGTTTCTAAAGATATCACTTAGGATTATTGCTTTGAATATAAAGTATAAAATTAAAAAAAAAATGTTGAAGTAATGCAATGTTAGAGCAACTACAACTTCTGAACAGGCTGAAGGGCACACTGTTAAGCAAATTGCGGTCTTTAATAATAAACCTTGATGTACAGTTTACAATATAAACAGATACTGATCCTGATGTCGCCACACCAACAAAGAAAGTAATAATTAAGCGAACGGTTGCATCTGAAAATGCAGGTCTCTTGTTATAGAATGCATTAAATTTCCTAGATTGCTATTGATAATCTCCTGGATTCTGTGAATTGTATCTAGACTTGTATGGTCCTTATGTGCCTTACATACTTATGTACATTATATGTTTTCCTTGTTGGTGGGGTGACATCAAGATCAGTATCATAGACCTTCTTCTCCACATTTTTTTCACACTGTGAAATTATGGTTGCTCTAAAATTGTATTCCTTTAAGATGAGGGTTTCTTTTCGAATTTAATACTTCATATTTAAAATAATAATGTTTAGCCATAACATTAGAAAATGGTTATTATACAAAATTAAATAAGCACCTGAAATAAGGAGTTGCCAATTTATCAGGTGTACCCTGACGTTAGAATATAAATATGTTGAAATAAAAAAAAATAATAAAAATGATATATTAAAATTCAATAGTTGTTTTAAAACTATTTGTAA